CTACAGGTTTTTGTATATTGCCATTCCTGATATCTGACTTGTGTCCATTTATCCTCTTGCGTAGTGACTGTCCAGTTTGGCCAATGTACATAGCAGAGGGGCATTGCTGGCACATGATGGCATATATAACATTGGTGGACGTGCAGATGAATGAACAGGTGATGTTGTAGCTGATCTGGTTAGGTCCTGTGATGGTGGTGTTGGTGTAGATAAGACCATCACAGGACCTAACCAGATCAGCTACAACATCAGATCAGGATTAAACAAAGACTGTGAATGGCTATCCAACTAGCCACAGGACTCTCTGTTGCTTTTTATGGAAGGCCTAGTAGGTTCTAAAATACTGCAGGTCCTCCCGCATGACCTGATTCTGTTGGACATACCTTCATGCCCGTCAGTTCACAAGTAGTGCCTGTGGCCCTCTGCCCAGGCCGTAGCTGACATCCTGCACAGCTCCAAGTCCTTTCTCTGTTAGTCGGAGTGCTATTTCTCAGGGGATGAAATGCCACAAGCGTTGCCACCTGCTCTGTTTCAGCATTGGGAGTTTTTATTAATGACACCCCAGTACTTTGGTTGCTTTAGGAAACCTCCTATATCTTACCCGTTTAGCCAGGAATGCCATCACTAGGCAGCCCATAAAGAAACATAGAACATTTATAAAGTCAATAAAGAGGCCTTTGGATAGTCCATGGTTTCCAAAGCATCGCTTTTGTTTGAAGAATTCTACACCTCAAAATAGAGAGCCCTGCCCATCAGATGTGCTTGCTGGGCAGGCATCGAAAAGGGCTGGCTAGGGGGTAGGCACCTCAGGGCTAACCTGTGCCATCTTGGCTCTTCCAGTAGCAAGCTTCTCCTGAGCAGATTCTGCCATTCATGCCAACCTTCCTTTTGCCTGGTGTGAAATAAAACTGTCACTAGGAGCTGGACAGACACAAGTGGAATCGTTTCACATTGGACCCAAGACTTCATTGGCTTATGAACTACGGTAGAATCTCAGAGTTACAAACACCTCGTGAACAGAGGTTGTCAAACTCCGAACACGACATTATGGTTCTTTCAAAAGTTGACATCTGAACATTGACTTAATCCCACTTTTTCTTCTGCACAGTAAAGTTTCAAATGCTGCTTTTAACCATTTTAATTTAAATGAAGCAAGCACAGAAACAGTTTCCTTTCTTTGTCAAATCTTCTTTTTTTTTTTTAAGTAGTAGTTTACAGTTAGCACAGCACTATATTTGGTGGGGGTTTCGGGGGCGGGGGGGTGTCTGCTGCTGCCTGATTACATACTTCCGGTTTCAAACGAAGTGTGCGGCTGACTGGTCAGTTCGCAACTCTGAGGTTCTACTGGAACTCTCTAGTTTTTTAATGTGGCCCCATCAGCATAGCATTAGAATGCCCCCAGGGTTACTGTCTTCCCTCCCACCACCCTAATTTTAGCTAGCTCTAATTTGTTTTGTTTTTTCTTTGCAGTTGGTGGTTCATGTGGGTGTATCAGGTATGGCTACAACCGTAACATTGGAAAAATGTGGGCATAACGTAGGATACAAAGGCTTAGACAACTGCCGTTTCTGTCCAGGCTCTCAGTGTTGTGTAGAAGGTGGCCCAGAATGCATCGATTCGATTATTGACATGGATGCAGTTTGCAGGAGAGTCTCAACACTGGGACTTGATGTCACGGTTACTATATCCAAGGATGCTGGCAGGTATGGGATCACAGTGATCAGTGGTGTATGTTCCGTTTGTGCTAAACTAATGGGGATGACAGAGTTCCTGGGCCTCTCACTTCTAATGAGGTCATCACTTCCATCCCGCCCCACAGGGAGTGGGGGCAGGGAAAGAACTCCTAATTTGTCTTTTAAAATCAGTTTAATTTTATCTGGGTCCATAAAGAGAAAATGTCATAGTCCTAGGCCAGTGGTTATTGCATGGTGTCACTAGAAGATAGAGGTAAGATTGTTCAGATGCCCTAACTGTATTTCCATTTCTTCATTTTAAGTTTTAACCTTAACTGTGAATTTCCTAGGAGTATAATTGGAACATCACTGTAATGTAATTTGGGGTAAAATACTGATATGTGCTCTCAACCGTAACTTCATTTTAACAGTTTTTGTCTGAAGCATCGGAACTGGACTTGTTTTCTATTGTTGCGTTAATGAAAAAGAAACTAACAAGAATGTTTATCTGGAAGTCTTGCAACAGTTGTTGCTATCACTAGGTTTATGCCAGAAAATTATCCACCATTCACAGACCACACAAAGCCCCTGGGCTGGAACTGAGATGCATTAAAATGTTGTAGTAGCCAGATATGTTGCATGCAACCAAAGGCTCTTATCACCACTGTTTTTTTTTATGTCTGTGGGATGTATTGGGGCACTTACCTTGTGTTTCCTGGAAGTCCACTTAGAGAATTATCACAATGTTCTTATTGTGGGAGTAGAGTTTCCGAAACTGGGTTAAACCAAAAACTGCAATCTGGCTGCAGCAGAAACAGCTATCATGTGGTTTTGCTTTACTGTTAAACATTGTCATGACTTTTTCCCAGAATAGCAAAAATAACTCCTTCATTTTAACAAAATCTATTCAGAGAACTTCTGAAATATTTGTTTGAAGTGACTTTTGAAATATCTGCAGCTGTATCTTTAGCTGCATTTTGATATTCTCCACTTCAGCTTTCCTTACAGAAGGCAAAGCTATAAACTCTTCAATGTTTGCATGCTTCCTTCCCCCCCCCCCCCACCTCCGTTTAAGTATTCCAAAGATAGGGATGGTCTGGAGTGTAGGGCCCTAGCCTGGAATTTGTGGGATCTGAGTTCAGTACCCTCTTCTGCCACAGGCTTCCCATGTGACCTTAGGCAAGTCCTTTAGTCTGTCTGTACCACGGTTCCCCATCTGAACGATGGGGATAACAGCCCTGCCGCCCATGGGTGTCGACAAGATAAATACACTAGACGAAAGCACTTGTGGGCACTTTTGTCTTCCTTAATTAGAAACATGCTAATTTTTCTCATGTCTATCAGTTATCTAAAATAGAACTCTGAGCCCACAGAAATGCTTAGGAACAGATTGTCTGCAGAGCAGAGGAATGCTTTAACCCTTTCTATGAAATTATTACTTAGATCTAAAGTGTTACACTGAAGGTTAGCAATCAACTATGCCTCTTGGGCCTCCCTTATTTCAATGTGTGTGTCTTTCTCAGTTGGTACCATTCTAACCCACTCTGCACAGCTGTAAGTAACTACACATGGTGTAGGATAGCGGAGAATTGGGTCTTTTGTATTTGTGACATCCTGCTATCCTAATAAAGGCCATCTCCTTAATATTCTTTAGGTAAAGCAGCTACCAAAGTGATGTTTTTGCTGTCTGGGGAGAAGTTGTTTGGTGCTTTAGAACAGCTGGCATGGGAATGATATGAGAGGCTCTGAAACCTGTTTCTCTGCTGCAGTGACAATAACTGAAGCCAATACAGGATTAATTTAACCATTCTTTTCTCTTCTGTAACAGTTTTCCAATTCTAATTGGCAGAAGCCATTGGTGCTGGGCTTCCCACGCTCAATTTTATTCATATCAGTTTGCTCACGGTACTTGTTGCATATCACTAAATAAACTTTTTTTAATTACAGATATCTCTGTGATTTCACTTACTATACTTCCTTATACCAGAGCCATGGCAAGTCTGCATTTGTTCATGTGCCTCCACTGGGAAAACCATATACTGCAGAACAGCTGGGCCGGGCACTACAGGCTATCATAGAAGAAATGCTTGATGTTTTGAAGCATTCTGAAGGCAAAATCAATTGTCGCCATGAACACTGAAGCTGGGCAAAACTCCTACCACTGTTGCACTTCCAAAAATCTTCCCCACTACTAAGTACTGGGGAAGCAGCCTGTCTGAAATGTACAGAAAAAGAATCAGAGACTACAGAATGAAAGTTAATTCCACTTCCAGCAATTCTGTGACCACCTTTTCTTCCTGTGTGAATTTCACCTTAAACAAGAAAGTATTTCAAGTCTTTCTTTTAAACCACCTGCAACTACTTATTTCCTGAAGTGGCTGAAAAATGTGTGCTGTGTTTCCTACAGAGGATCTCTGTAAATCAAGTGACAGCTATTGAGCAGTCTAATACAGTGCAGATGGAAAGGTTTACACCTGGAATCAGAGTTCGTGTGCAGGGAATTGATAATACCAACTTCTGATTAAAGTCCTTAGTTTAAAAGATTTGCTGATTTTTAAAAAAATTAATAGGTTTTAATGTAAAATTATAGCTATAAGCAGTTGGCATAGAAGATTGTGGGCTTATTTGGGTTTTAAACAGTTCTTGTTTGGGATGGGGAGTCATTTATAATTGTTTTAGAGGGGCACTGAATATTTTTTGCCAGTCCTAAAATACCTGTGCATTAGTGTGGACTCCTGTTAAGACTTTAATAGTGCTGCAAACAGAAGGGGATACATGGTTTTTATTTCTCATGTTGGGGAGTACTTGAGACACCCAACCTGCACCAAATATTTCTGAAAAATGATTTTTATTGTGCTCTTAATACCACCTTCCTTGCTCAGATTAACCATATACCTCCTTTACGAAACACATTGTTTCATACGTGTATAAAATAAAACTTATAGCGGTTGGAAAAGCTTTGCTAGTGACCACTGTTTCCACAGGGGTCTCTTTTCCCAGAACCTCAATGCTAGAGCTTACCCTGCCCCCGTACCTTAAAAACAACTCGGTACTCTTTTTCCTTCTTTTTTTATTGTAAATGTTTGTTCTGTTTCGGGATTGGAGGAAGAATAACATTTAAGGACTTGTCCGCACAGTGCGGCAAAGCACTCTAGCGGCTTGTGCTCCAGCTGTCCCTTGAAGACCCTGCTGGTACGCTCTAACAGGTTCCTAGTGCGCGTTGACGGAATCCTGCTTCAACACTGAATTCATACACAGCACGTTAAAGTGCTTTACAAATCACACCTCTCTAGAGTGCTTTAGCATGCCATGTAGACAAGCCCTGAATTAAATATTAAGTTAGAGTCTTGGCTTATAATAGACATAAATATGCCAAAATGTGAGTGAAAGGCAACCCCGCCCCACAGCTAGCAGGCATTCAGCCTCACCCACTACCACCCCTGCTGCAGACCCAGAGTTGCAATGATCTTGTTTACTCTGTGCTGAGCTCTGTGTTGGTGCTTCTCCTGGGGCACCGGGAAGGAATGACCAGAAGGTACCACGGCTTCCATTATTATCTGTATTGTCTCCGAGGCCCCCATTGGGCTCCACTGGGCTAGGTGCTGTACACATCCACACACTGGTTCCTGCTGCAAAGAGACTCCTGCAGCTCTGATTTTCAGTCCCGTGCCTCAGTTCCCAGTCAAAGTATCAGAACTCCTCTAGTGGCCTACAGCCAGTAGAAAAGCAGTCTGATTCTCCACTGCCTTGCCTTTCTGGCCATTATCCACACCAGTGCAAACCAATTCTGATCCATCTACACTAGGAAAATCAGGACCCAGGGTTCTCTGCTGGGGTCACTCACCCCAGTGATAGCAAACATGCACTTTTCTGACTGGCCCGTTCTAGTCTCAAAACCAGTTGTAGAGGCCATGATGCATCAGGGGCAAGTACATGCCCCCATTCTAGCTGCAGCCTCTTGGGCAGCAAAACTTTCCGCACGGGCGGTGTTGTGGGCCTGGTCCCATTCTATACGTTTTTAAGAAAGCCCTTCTCGGCATGTATAAACTGAACCTTGTATTTTAAAATTTCACTCCAAAGGGGCATTTCTGGATGGCCTCCAGGTGCCCTCTGTGTGGTGAGATGATCTCATTCGTTAACACTGAGGCTAGGTCTGACGTGCTGCTTGCTCAGCAGACTTTCCAAATGCAGCACTTGGAAAGACGGGTCTCGTGTTCTAGCCAAGATTCAAAAAGGTCTTTGAACTAGTAGTGTGTGACCTTGACTCTAAATTGTGATGTAAGGGAAAGGTGCGTCATGCCACAACAAAAGGTTAAATTGGCACTAGCTAGCATGTCTTGTTAGGGAGCCATTTAAATAAGAACTTATGTGACTAGTTCTAATACTTTTACTAAAATAGATATTAAACTACGTTTTGAAACCTGTTAGAAATATCTTTAACTGTTTTAAGTTCTCTAATTATGAATGATTCTACTAGAGTATCTCTCAATGAGAGCTGCTGCTTCCCACCAGGAAGTCTAGCGACCAAGAGAAGACATTTGAATGCATGAGAGCGGTTGGAGACTTCTGCAGTTTTGTTAAGGCAACTCTCTTGTTTGGGAAGCTAGTGCATGGAGATGTTCAGGTATACTTTTGGGTTACTTAAGATTGATTTTCTGTGGAAATATCTCCCATGTTTTCTTCACCGCTTTTCTGATTGATAGAACTTGCTTTAAAAGTCAATGTGCAGTCTCTCCTGTGCACTAAATGCAGAGTAGCACTTCTTTGTCCGGCTTTCAGCAGGCAGGTCAGATCACAATTTCCTGTTTAGTAATTTATTATATTTAATATTTTGTTTAAATATTGGTGATTTTACTCATTCTTGCAAATAGTGGAGGTCATGATCTTGTAACTTTCCCTTTCATTGGTAAGCAGTTCTGATCATCAAAATGCATCTTAACTGCTGAACCTCTTCAAAAGAGAATTGTGTGTGTGTGTGTGTGTGTGTGTGTGTGTGTGCGTATAT